CCCTCCCCCCCCCCAAAAAAAAAAAAGAAGGGCTCTTGGGCTTTCCTGGATCCTGAAGAACCGATGATATAAATCCCGCAGAACCTCAAGGACCCTAAGCTATGGGAATTATGGCATATTCCTAATTCTGGGTCATGCAGGTTTTGTATCATCAACCGTAGTATACCTTTTTGAGCACTTATATATAACTAAATCAGAATAAGGAACCCTAAAAAGGTAGGTTCTTTAGGGTCCAGGTTTGGCTTTCCTTTGCGACGGTCGGAGCTTCAGGGTGTTGGTTTAGCGTTTAGGGTTTGGGGCTAGTGACCGCTATCTCAACTGACCTTGGGAGTCAAGTTCTTGATGTTTGAGTAGGACTGGGGTTTGGGGCTTGAGGGCTTCGCGCTGCCCTAAACCCTGCTTAGAGGATCATGGGACTCAGTAACTAGGCGTATAAGGAAGGTAACTATACTTATACCTACTCATAACCCCCAATGAGGCACCTATAACCTTACTTACTAAGTCCCATCATCCCCCAAGTAAGCCAGTGGGTTTCGGGTTTGTTGGCTTCCGGCTTTTCAGGTCGACTCTTGGACTTTGCACGTGCAGAGGAAATTCTTTTCAATGCAGAGGGGCGCTTGAAAATCGGGTTGGCATGGTGCCGCTCGATCGAAAGGGGGTGAGGCGGCTTGGAGTCTCCAACAGCATTACGTATGATTTAAATCAGGTATGTATACATATATATATATATATATATATATGCATACATACTTGTATATATATATATATATATATATTTATTTATTTATACACTCCTTAACTGAAGGGTTTTGGAGGGTCTGGTGGTTTAGGGTCCTGTGCCTGAATGATTTGAATAGAGTTTGGACCCCATTTTACTATTGCTTATAACAAGGAACCACCAAAATAATGTTGCAAATTATTTCGGCCCCTATTTTAAACCTAGAGGATTTCGACGTAAGGACCCCAATCACGGGATTCCTGATTCATTATCTGGAAACACACAGGTAGTAACGTCTGATTCTGTGTCACGGTTTTAGGGTTTAGGTTTAGGGTCATAAAGATGCCGCAACGTCTGAAAAAAACGGCGAAACAGGTTCAGTACTAGCTCGAAGCAATCGGGGAGCAGTTTCCAGATGAAGACTGGAGTCACAGCTAATATAGGGGCCTTAATAATTGGAATAGGGTTTTGGGGGCCCGTTGTAGTATAATTACAATAAGGAACCCCCCAAAATTTTTCTTAATAATTAGAATAGGGTTGGCGGACCCCTTATACTCTAAATTTTAATAATGACCCCCAACTTTTGCAATTATTGAGGCCCTTATAGTAAGCGAGTGGAGTCGAAGGGGCTGTGCAGATTATCTCAGCATCCCACCGCTGCGATCCGACCCAGAACAATTCCCTCACTTGAACATCTATCCATGGTTTTCTATCCCCTTAACCATGATGGAAGCCTAAAGTCCTAACGCCCTAAGCCCTGTTTTTCTAAGCCCCAAGCCCTACCCTTCTAATTCCAAACCCTAACTTCCCACACCCTATAAATCCTAAACCCATACGGCACCCTGGAAGTGGGCCGCGTCTGCCAAGTGGCAGGCACCGTCTCTCCCTCTAGAGAAGAAATGAGAAGCTCGCCAAGAGATCCTTCTAGGTTTACGAAAATACCTTTACGAACGAGGCCTTCGTAATTGGAAAATTGGAATAGGGATTGGGGGTACATGATGGTAGAGTTACAATCAAGAACCGTGAGGGACACTATTTCTGACGATGAGCGAACCCCCCGTGCAGATGCACTTTGGACAGAAAAACCGAACGCAAATCTCCTTGTAGACACCCGACAGACTACGCTCTCAACACTTCGGCAACGGAAAGCACAAATCCGTATGTAGGTGCCGCTTTAGGCAGCAACAGCGACGCCACGACAAAAACACACACATCACCGTAGAAACCACCATGTAAACACCGCATCAATCAGCACTAGCAGCGGCACGTCAAGGATAAACTACAACTGCACTCTAGACTCCGTGTGGACAAGATAGCAGGCAAACTCTCCATATACACACTCGATGATACGGCTGCGTGTCACGCATGTGGCGTGGGATCGAACGATCTGACCAAACTCTGTCCTTGTTCGTCGTATGCACACTTTGAATGCCTGAAGTTCCCAATGTCCTAACACGACGGTACCTGGACCCCAAAAGTAAGTATAATAATAGCCTTCTATAGGTTTGGGGCCATTATTTTACCTACTTTGGGGGTCTAGGTATGCTACAGTCTGAACCCCATCCCAGGCTCAACTAGCAGCTGAAACATCGACTCTAAACCGTATGCATTCAGACCTATATGGGTGGTTGTCAAAATTATGGTCCCTTTGTGGGTACCCTAAATAATAGGTGCCGTACTATAATAGGAACCCAAAAAGACCCTAATTTTGACAACCACCCATATGTAATACCCTCCCCGCCCCCGCCCATGCCAAGATCTCTAAACCTTACGTAGACCAGAGTCCAGGTAAACCCCGAACTCAGTTTCAGCAACACTTGGAAGAACGCTCAGGCCAGGTATGAAGGAGGATCCCTTGGAATGGCGGCAGGTTGGAAGAGCCGGGCAAATCACCTTGAGGATCCAAGGACCGAATGCGGACCTTAATGATTAGAATATGGTTGTGGGGTGTATCACTATGGACTATGGCAGAACAATGTTGGGGGGATACTACCATCTTTGGGATCTCAGGGCATACATACAAATTCATGCAACCAGAGATTTGGCTTCCTGCTTGGCTTCCTATGTAAATCCGGTCTGGTGGTTTCCTATGATCCCCAGTAGCCCAACTCCAAAAGGGCTCCTTTCTTGGTACAGGGCACTTTTAAGGAACCTAAGACCACACAAAGTAGACAAGGACCCACTCGAAGACCTAGTTTCGGGCTTCGCAGGCTTGACTTTCGGGTTTGTTTAGGGTTGAGGGTTTGGGGCAGCCTTGGTTGGGGCTGGTCCTTCCCGACACCTCAAACGGGATAAGGAAGCAACGCTTTCGTTGTCCCAAATCCACCAAAAACTCTGGTTCTTTTGCAAGGTATTGTTCGTTAACACTCAAACATAATAATAATCTTAACGGTCGAACCTGCTTTTCTGTACGGTCCCAAACACTTCTAGATTGCGGCTTATGGTAAAAACCTACATAAAAATGGTTCTGATAGCTCAATTAAGGCAGCCATACGCACCCTACCGAAGCGCGATTTGGTAGACTTCAACTCCCTAAACCCTAAACCCTAAACCCCTAAACCCTAAACCCTAAACCCTAGGGTAGAGGTGACTGGACCCCAAGGTCTGGGTGGGCCATGCATTGTGAATTGGGGATCCCTTTCTGTGGGATCCTTGCGACAGCGAGCTCCTGTTTACATCTAAGACTATCTGACAGCCTAAGACTAAAGAGCTTTGACAGAAATCGAAACCAAGCGCCTTCACCGTGACCCTATGGCTAGAGGAACTCCCATCTGCGTTCCGGATGCCTTAAGCCCTAAATGCTGACCTTTTCGTAGGGGTGGAGAGCGCTACTTGGAAGATCATGAGGCATGGGGGCGGTAAGCAGTTGTAAGTATAGCTTTAGTACTTATAACCCAAGCTCCTAAGCCCCAGGATCCTCTAAGTACCCCTCCAAAACTCATACAGAACCCTTCAGAGTAAGCTTCACAGATCCCTTAAAGGAACCCTAGTTATCAAATCCCATGATCCTCTAAGTACCCCCATAACCCATATGAAATCCTTCATAGTAAGCTTTATAGATCCCTTAAAGGAGCCCTAGTTATCAAATCCCATGATCCTCTCAGTGGACCTTCTTGTTTGGATCCAGCATGGGATCCACCAGCTTCAAGAGCTACACATCTGCCACACGGCAGCCTACATGGGAGTTTCCGAAATCTAGGGGTACCTTATTTTGGGGTCCTTATACTAAGGATCCTACTATTTAGGCTACTATATTAGGGTCCCCTATTCTCGGAAACCCCCACATGTCGGTCCAGGGGTTTAGATCTCATTCGTGCTTCATATGGGAATTTCCGAAAATAGGGGACCCTAATACAGTACCCTAAATTTCCATATTGGTATATTTGCACATATGGGAGTGTCCGAAGATTAGGGTACCTTCTTTTGGGGGTCCTTATATAAGGATCCTCCCATTTTGATGACACCAATGTACACACTAATAAACCCCAAGCCCCAAACCCCAAACCCTGAACCCAAAACCCTAACTAGGATACCCAGTAACCTAAGAAAAAAAGGCCTCTCTTTTTGGTATTGGGTAACTTTAAAAGGAACCCAGGTCTACAAAAAGGGAATAAGGGTACTACTGGGCATCCTAAACCCGAGGATGGCGATTCTTCTGGTCAGTACTGCTCCTACACTGCCCGGTGCACTTCGAATTCAGGCAGGCACCTCTGAATTCAAGGAATACCTTAGAAGCTGCCCCCACCCTGTAATAGTGACTATAAGGATTATATATGATTATATTAGGGCCCTATTCTATTCCTCTTATACCACTATTACAGGGTGGGGGGCAGCTTCTAAGGAATACCTATAGTCTCCATTGTAATTCCTTTTTGGGGTTACCTTTTAGGATCCTTAACATAAAATTGTTAAACCAAAAAAAGGGAACTACAATGGAGACTATACAGTAAACCCCATAAAGTTGGAAACCGGATTAATGCCAAATGGTGCTGGGATTCCTTAGACATTACTCTTGAGGATCGAGGCTATGGGGTTTCCAACTTTTGGGCTTCTACTGTAGGTAGTTTCGGGGTTTCCGGCGAGTCTAAATATGCAGAGGTCGGCTCAGAGGTGCCATCTCCCCCAGAGCCTCCAAAACCCTTTAACTAGGGAAATAGACCTTAAACCATAGTAGGATCGCTAACAGAGTCAAAAGTATATATTCCTTAATTAAGGAAATCATCGTAGGATCCCTCATATAATCTAAGACTCCTTATTTAAGGTGGCTTTGGCGGCTCTGAGCCTAAGCTCCTACCAGCTCTTTTGAGCGCTCAGGAACGTGCTTCGCCACCGCCCGCTTGATGTCGTCAACCAGCTTCGGAAAATCATGGTGCTTGCGGCACCTGCAACACCAAGAAAGAAACAAATCTAAACCCAATCCCCTATAGTACCCTTGTAGAGCCAACCCTTAAAATCCCTTTTAAAGGAACCCTTACAACCCCTTAAACAACATCAAGAACTAAAGGCGCCTGCGGCGCCTGCAAGACCAAGAAAGAGCAAAGTCCCGTGGATATAGGGGCCTCAATAATTAGAATAGGGTTCCTGTATTTAAAGGGTTCCTTTAAAAGGGCCCTAGAAAGGTTCCTAAGAAAGAGCAAGATCCCTTAATTAGGCTTATAAACCATAATATGAAGCCCCGTATCCCTTCATGAAGGAATAGGGCCTAAACCATAAACATGAAGCGCCTTATAGTTTATGGTATGTTCGCTTATTTACGAATATAGCTTAAGCCCTGAGCTGGTTATAGTTTAAGGTATGTTCTTTGTTTAACTGACCACAACCTTGACCACCCATGACTATATCCACTACCAGCACTAGAACCCAAGCTTTAAACTAATCCCCCAGTAAAAAAGACGAGTTGCAAACAGGATCGATTTCTGGCTAATGCTGCATGGTTGAGGTCTCCAGATCCGGAAAGCATCCAAAACCGGACCCCGAAACCCTGAAAACAAACCTCAGAAAGTCGTTGTGAAAGCCCTCTACATCTCGAAACACCAGAGCGAACCTCAGGGACCCGACCCAAGCCTACGCCGAGTTGAGATGCAGTACACATGCTGGGCGCCCGTGAGCGCACCTTAGGGTTCGAGGAGGCGGACGCTTGGGTCTGGGGTTGTGGAATTTGGGGATTGCGGGGGTGTGGGGTCAGATGATGGGCTGGGCAATGATGTAGGAGAACCCAGACCTTCCAAATCCCTTACTTAAAGAAAGAATGCAGCCCAAAAAATGGCAGGATCCCCTATGTAGTTTACGGCTTATATTCCTTAATTAGGGGATATTGGAGGGTCTGGGTCAAGAGCCCATGTAACGTAAGGATGCAAGCACTTTTTAACAGCATCTTAGTCCTCACAATGCTGTGCTCTTACTTGTCTAGATTCTTCGAGCCACTTAAGCCGTCAAGTAACTGTGTAGGAACTTCATTAACGCCGAAGTATGCACTGTCTGAGTACACGGGAGCCTTAGAGCTCGTCTTCTTAGTTGCTGAGTTCGGTTTAGGGTTTAGGGTTTAAGTTCATAAGCCCCGAAAAGTGTACACTTTTAGTTTTAGGGTGGGGAACATTGTCCCAAAAAGTGTAAAGTGTATCCACTCAGCTACTAGGTCTTCAACACCATTCCAAAAGGCATCCGAATGTCCGCAGCCCCAACCGGGATGTGTAACGGGATGTCACAGACCCGAAAACCATGATCCAAGAGTCGAAATACTGCACCCCTAAACCCTGAACACTAACACCAATACGAAACCCCTAACCCGGCAAAATAGTAGGGTAGGACCCCTTTATTGTAGGATACAGGCCCCCGATCAATACTTGAAGAGTAAGTAGGTTATAGGTGGCGTTCGAAGCATAGCAACCCCAGTTAAGAGACTTGTAGCCCTACTCATAGTCAAGTAGCTAAACTCTTTCCCTGGGGATCGCAAGACCTTGTTATATGAGGTCTCGGGTGAAAGTCCCGGTCTTTGGAGGGGTTGTATACCGAGTCCTAAAAAAATGAGGCCTTGGGAACCATCGGATGCCAAGGAACGAGGACGATGTAAAGTATATAAAATTAAATAGGCGGATATGAAGTCAAGGCTGATCTGTACAAGTGGAGCAAGTTCCCCATACCAATACGACATGGATCAGGAGGAAACCATCCCAGTCCAATGACATGGACGGCGGAAAATACTCCAAGTCGCCGAATAGCTGACCAAGTGCACAATTTCACAGCACTTCGTGTGCACGTGGGTTGAAAAATTATCCCGAACCCGCTTAATTTGGTAGCGGCAAATGGAAATATTCATTTCACGCTACCGAATTGCCACCCAAGATATGTATATATCTATATATCTATATATATATATATATGTATACGTGATTCTATTATACATATACAAGTTTATCCCTATTCACATTTCGGAATCCAAGTCTGCTTTGGGCAGACTGTGCTTCGAGTTCCGTGTGGCGGTGGCCGAGTTTGGGCCAGCTTGGGCATGTAAACTGGGAATTCCTTAGCAACTTGTCTTTAATTTTGTAGATCGCTAGCTGCTATGAATTTCATTCTGGTTCGCAGTTCGCATTGTAGAGAGTCGCCCCGGTGGACCATTAAAGCACTCCATCCCTAATAACTTCCTTGACCTGTCAAACCCGAGCTCTCTGCTTGTCAGGACCATGCAGTGCACCGTTGCCGTCTGAGTGTACAGGTACCGATACTGAACCCTAAGCCTGATGTGTGTTGTAGATATAGCAGGCCGATGATACTATGTTATCCCATAAACCTGAAATAGGTGTTGCAATCCCCACCTGCTCATGAGGCGGCTGTGTGTCCCAGCTGTGTGTGCGTCTTGTAAGCTGCCAAAGCAGGCAACCGATGCTAAGCCCTCACTAAATTTAAACCTGAAGCGTTTCATGCCCTCACCTGCTCGTGAGGCAGCTGTGTGTATCCTAGCTATAAATTTAAGAAATGAAGCGTGCTTTGGCAATGGGCAGAGAACGCATGCTGGCTTCACAGCGAGCGGGTTCGAGTTCCAGGTCAGCTGACGGTGCACCCTCCGCCGTGCATATGCATGACTGTGTGTGTGTGTGTGTGTGTGTGTTTGGCTGCAGATGTACTTGATTAGATGTTGCCGTTGTTGGTGCCCGTCGTATGCCAGCTGTGCACTGCTGTGTGCGAGAGTTTTGGGGCCCGAGACTAGTGCGAATTGCACAGTTCTGCCGGCCATGTCGGATGTGCCTACCGCTGAGACTCGATTCAGCAGTTATGGGTTATGTAGCTTCGGAAACATTCATATTGATCATGATGTTGTTACAAATCTCAGGAAACCTCGGCCAGAGAGGCCCAGGTGGAAGCCGTGCACGAAGTGTTGAAATCGATTCTGGAACCCTGTGATTGGACTGCCATACGGGCAGACGAGGCCCCTGTGCCCAGAAATCTCCTTTCCAGGCCCTCCCTTTTGATCAGCTCTGCTGGCAGGCCAAAGTGTTGGTCCCTCTCACGGAGGCCTCCGTCCTGGCAGGAGGCGTGTTCGAACGGGACGCAGCCAGTATGCACGTGATATTTGTTGCATCTTGGAATCTTACGTGTGCGAGCTACATGCGGGAGTCCCGGGAGTGAGATATATGTCTAGCCAAGATCATCCTAAATTTTGAGATGGTTATCTCGATGTTTGCCAAAGTGGAGCTGGACGTTCCTTCTGCCGGGGTGTTCAAAGAACCCTGACTGCACAATCCGCCACTGCAACCTGTGAGTCACACAATCGCCGAATGCCACAAGCTTTCCGAGCATAAACCGAGGACGCCTTCTTGAAGGTGAACAACGATCGCGGGCTCCTGGTCCTTGGGGCTGTGAAACCAGACCCGCAGCCGAAAGGCCGATCAAAGAAAGTGCTCAAGAAAGAAATCCAAGAATCCCGTCAGCTTTAGTGTAGGCTTCTCTGTGTGTGATCAGTTGCTTAGCACTGCGAGTTCTATTGCTGTATAAGTATATATATAGAGAGAGAGAGAGAGAGAGAGAGAGAGAGAGAGAGAGAGAGAGAGAGAGAGAGAGCCAAGGACTGGGCAGGGCAGCAAGGAGGTCGCTTGAGAGCGATGCTCGCGCTTTGTCTTAGGATGACGAAGCGCACTGTGGTCGCGAGGAGCGGTGCTGGCTTCCTGTATGGCATACGTAATAAGAAAAAGCCTACGCTATTGAGATACAAACACACCAACCTGCACACGCACACGCACACCCACCCGCCCACCCACCCACCCACCCACCCACACACACGCCCACACACACCCACACACACCCACGCACACACCCACTCCCACGCACCCACTCCCACACACCCAGACACCTACACACACCCACTCCCACGCACCCACTCCCACACACCCACACACCTACACACACCCACACACACCACACACGCACAGACACACACACACACACACACACAGACCAGGAGCGAGGAGATGCAGGCCATCAAGAACTTCCTATCCTCTTGTGCCGGTTTCGAGAAGTTCGTGAAGGCCAATGAATTTTGAAAGGGTTGGGGTTGAATCGGATGTTGGGTAACTCCAATGATCGTTCAGGAGGCTGAGTCGGGGAGCACGACAGCAGATATCGGAGAAGTCGGAGAAGCAGTGCACGCCACTTGCCGAGTGTGTAGAATCGAATATTCAAATTCAGGGTGCGAACACAATCCCTTCGACGTCCGAGGTGCCTGGCTTCACCTCCGAAAGCCTGGGCGACAGCGTGGACGGCGAGGGCGAGCCGACTGAAGAGGCAGCACTGCCGGGATCAAATTTAACCTGGGATTTGTATTTAATTTGTTCTCGGTGGAAAGAACGAGGAAATTCTAGACCGTGGCGCCCTAAAACTTTGCGTTGTTGAGGCTTGCAGGTGGGTGTTTTCGGAATTTGGGTCTGGCTGCAGTGAGTTCGATGCCCCAATTGAGCTTCAATACTGTATAATCAAGCCCTTGTCAAGCCTCCAACCCTACATATCTGCACAACGCCTACATGTCAAAACCGCCTTTTAAACCTAAAGTGTGACCCCGTACTTGCAATTCGAAACCCCAAGCCGCCCCTCCGAATTACCTACGCCGCCAGGATGAAGACATGTGTACGAACGAACCCGAAGCTGCTCGGGCGGAGGACTGCGGCGCTAACTTGGAAAATGCACGAGTCGAATCCTACAGAATAATATTTAGTCTTGATCAGGTACAAATGCTTCAGTAGAACCCGGTTGCACTTGGGGTCAAGGTGGGCTGCGAGTCTGGGCACCGAAGCTTCCGATAGTTAAGAATGCAGGCCCCAATCATGAGCAATTCGGGTTTTTGTGAACCAATCAGTTCCTCAACCTCTTGGCTTGCGATCAGGACCCAGTGGCCCCAGCATCGACGGACATGCCAGATGTGTCGATGGAGGACGACGATTAGTTTGCAAATCGCAGAAAGGAGCTTGCCTACTTGTTGGAGTTCGGGGTATTTTATATAAGATCAGGGAATGTATGTACGCATGTGTGTGTGTGTGTGTATATATGTATATACACATAGGTATGTGAGCTTCCTCGGGTTTTTGCCTCTCGGTGCAGGTGTTGCTTTATATGACATATTTAGGGGCTTGGACGTTAGGGGGCTTTGGGCTTACTTGGATTAAGATTAAACAAGGCCGGCTCGAATTGAAATTGGGCATATAGTTCATGCAGTTGTGGTTTATCGAAAGAATTATACACAGAGTCGGGTCTTGGGGTATCGTCGGTTTAAGTTTAAGTGAGAAGAATGGGCATTGGCTTCCAGGGTTTATCACGCTCGGGACGATCACTCTAGTACAACATGACAACTAAACTTGTAACCCACAACTGAAACGCAAAACCCCGAAAGCCTCATGACCACAACCGCAAATCCCAAAGGATCGACTTTAGATTTTGGTCGGCTTTCTAGGGCCCTTAGGGACAACTGTGCTAGGTATACGAGTTAGCTCCAGTGATTCGACCGGATAGACCCAAGACCCAGATCCAGATCTAGAATTAATGCTGACGGATCCCTCCAGGATTCGCAAATCCCTTCGCCAGCGCCAGCATCCCCGCCACCGGAGAAGGACCCACAACCTCGGAGCA